GCCCAAGCCTACATTTTCTTAGCAAGTAAGCTTTTATATCTCCTCAATAAAGGCAAAAGTTTTCTTGCTTGACTTTGAGAAAGAAGGAGAAAGAAGCACCTTATTATATAAAAAAAAAATAAAGGTGCGTTAGCACTTTTGTTTTCAAAAAGGGGCGGAGCTTGAATAGCGAAGCGAGCCTATCAGAGAAAAAAGTGCTAGTTGTAGCACACTTTTGACTAATACCATAGAAAGTCAAGGCTCTGGGCAACGAGTGGGAGGGAGCATTGACTTGAGCATTGTACAAGTGCTTAAGGCTCTTTCGAGCCATGGCCACAACTATCATATAAGGCAACGCTTGGAAACAAGCTACCAGCGTCTATCGGTGAGAATGGGGCTTGGCTTGGTTAGTAGTGCCTACCTATTCTGTTTCGACCACCTGCCAACCTATGAATTCTTTAGAGCGGGTGGGCTGGCAGGCTAAGCGTATGGGGATCGTCAAAGAAATGCCTCAATGCGCCACGACCACTACTTTGACTCTTTTTATGCAATTATGAACCCCATGAAACTTTTTTGATTCCAATGCAACTTATCCTTTTGGAGCTGACGTAACAAACTACGTGAGTCGCCCAATGAAGCCAACATAAATCTGATCCAAATAAAAAAAGAAAAGGAAGTTTCATTATGGTGGTATACGAGCCACCTATTCTAGAAGTTCCAGTTCCAATCGAAGCATATACATTCGTAAATAGATTTGTATGTATAGCCACTTCAGTCTTGCTCAGCGTTTCTCAAAAGTGTATTTTTTCTGGGAACATGGTCAACTTGAAATTCTTATCTTCACGATTCTTCATCCACTGATGCAGAAAATGCTCCAGTACTTAAGCCCACTGTCCATAGAGGTATCAGTACCTGGCCCATCCAATAGCATGGTACTAGTACTTAATCACTTAGGTACCGGTACCTGGGCCTAGTTTTTCTCCAATTCTTTCCAATCTTAAACCATTGGCCATCCAAACCCATTCCATACTCATTCTTTAATTCATATACACAAATTCTAGTCAATAAGAGTTCATTACATGTCCTCTTAATACAATTTACAAGTTCAATTCAAATTACACAATTATTTTACAAAATGTAATTTAAAGCTACATTCTGGCTTCTTCTCAGCAAGGGATTTAGTGAGGACCATCTATCGGTGCTTGTCATGCACCTGAAATGTTGTTTCCATAAAGAGTGAGTCACGCTCAATAGGGTATCTTCTAAAGAGGTTATTCCCCAACCCACATGCATATGAAATGTTCACATGTAATTCAACAATCAAACAAGCAACCAACCAAGAATATGTAATTCATAATGGATTCTACAATGCCTTGCCCTATCATGAGATGGTACTCACATATGCATTGTAACCCGAGTCTTCCACTGGCTCCCATAACACGTGTAATGCTATTCGTATGAATCCAGACATTCTAAGTCTCCACCATTGATGTTGCACATCTATTGACCATTTATAAATCCCGGGTGTTTCTTGGGGTGGGTATTTATGAACTTCCACCAACGAGTACCCAACCGACATGACATCTATGGACTTCCATCTACGGCTCTGCGTATGCCGATAAACTTTATGGATTCAATACCAACGGAATTCATATCCAAAATTACCTGGTTTTGCACCTAAGGGAAAATCTAGTCATTCTTACTAACCGCAACCCTTATTTTCAATGCAACCCGTGCGACTCAATTGAACCTAGGTCCAATTTTTCGAGCCCATGTATCAACTCACCACGGATGATGTTTGATTAAAACCATGCACACACACCCACACTTATGTTAATTGCCCACGAATGTAATGCTACCTATGCATATGCAAATGTAATGAATAATTACATTTCACATCACTATGCAGTCATGTTTTCAATTGCAATTATGACATCATGTTCAACATGCCATGAGCAAGTTGTGAAAAATTTCAATATCTATTAACATTTCCAATTCTCAATGTAATTTATATCATAAAACATGTAATTAAATTCCAAAATCTTCACAATGCATGTTATATCAATTTCTTCAAGTAACATAGTTAATCAATCATGGGCATTTTATCAAACACCTACAAGGCCCAAAATTATGTAAACACATAGCATGCCCAATTCAACACATTTCTCATGAAACTCTAAAGCAAGAAATTTCACCAAAATCCAATTCACACAAGGATTGATTTTAACTCATTCTCATACTCATTTGCCACATTTCAACTGTACTAGGTATGTGTAATACATGAGATTATATCTCTAACACCCTACCATTTCATATATCAACCCTAGGTTAGAAATAAACCTAGTTAGAAAAAGAACCCTACCTCTTGAAGTGTAATATTGCGTAGTAGAAGCTCCAAAATACCCAAATTAAGTTTCAAAGCTTTGATTCAGAAAATCTCAATCTTGAGACTTCAGTGAAACCCGCGATCTTTGGTATGTACTTGTAGCTCTCATTGCGTAGAACACTTTTTTGTTCGTAGTTTGAAGCAATCTGAAGGATGAATAGCCGTAGATCGCAAGGAGAAGCTTAAAGAATCTTTGCTTTCTCTTTCTTCTTCTTCTCTCTCTATCTGCTTAGCAAATGGGGAAGTACCCCCCATTTACTTGGTTCTTGTTGCGCCACATGTTCCCTATTTTCTGATCTGATTTCATCCCTAATCAATTAAATCTCATCCCGTTTTCTATTCAATATATTTTATTTAAAATAAATTTAAATTATTTTTTGTGATTCACAATTAAATCCTGATCGCATTTATTTTAATCATGTGACGCCCAATCGCATCATAAAACGCAAAAATATTGACAAAAATCGACTGGATAACTAGATTTTGAAAGACAGATCCAAGGGTAAGATCTATTTTATCATCTGAGTTCGAGAAAAATTTGAATTTTTAAATCGTACCATAATGGCTAATTACAATTTTTCCCTTCACGATAAAATTTTAAATTTTTTCAAGTTTTACAGAAAGTGTTGCATAGGTTAAATACAAGATGAAAAACTTTGATGTTCAATGTGCTACACTATGTATAAAGAACCAAAAGAAAAGATGCTATGATTGAAGATACAAAGAAAAGATGAGATTAAGAATGGATAAAATTGGTTGATTGAAGATACAAATAAATCAAGAGAATTAGCATAGACTAAGAGGTTGAGTGAAGGTGAGATTGAATGAGCATGATAAGCTTCTTCAACAACTTCGTCAGTTTGATGCGCATATGAGGATAACTTGAAGAGATTAAGGATCATTTTTATATGATCATCATTAAAGTTAATAATGTGATTATGTTGGTTGAGAAGAAGAGTTGAAAGATCAATGCAAATAACTACAAGAAACAAGCCAAGAAGAAAAAATGTCAAAATTGAAAAAATGTCAAAATCGTCAGTTTGACATAATCTTGGTAATAGTTGAATAAATTTTGATGGAGATTTCAACTCAATTTGATTCAAATGAGATTGGAAATAAGACCTCAAGATCTACAACTTTATGTGAAATAACAAGTTTGAGGTTGGAATTTCTTAATTTGGTGAACTAGTATACATTAATTTTTCCCAGAATCTCCCATTTTTAAAGTCTTGAAATGATTTCAATTGGACCAACTCGCATGCCAGATGTGTCCATTGAAGGTTCTAACGTCTAGTTTTTAGCTCATTTGCTTGTCCAATTACTTCCTCTATAAAAGAGGATTGTGAGGGCTATTGAAGTAAGACTTTTTTGGAAAATTATTGGGGAGTTCTTGATCATTCAAAGGGTGATTTACATATCAAGAAATGATTATTATTGTGAGATCTTGGATATAAGGTCAATTGTGATTGTCTCCTTCTTTGAGTTTAATTGAGTGAATTTTTGTTTGTAAAGAGATGAGATATTATTGTATTGAGTGAGCTTGAAAATATATCTATTGAGCCTCATGATGCACAAAATAGACTTATGCACAATCAATAGTCGAGTGTATGATGCAGGGGAGTTAGTGAAACCATTAATAAAGCAATTAATGGCAAAAAGGCAAATATTTAGTCAACAAACAGATGTATAGTGGTTCGGTCAGGGGGACCTACTCCACTTCAGAAGGCAGAAACAGTGGCTAGAGACTTTTATTAATAAAGTAATGTGTGTGAGAGGGAGAGAGCAAATGTGAGCTCTAAGGGAGGTTAGCTACCTAGGAGAAAGAAATAGCTATGTGATGGGTGTGTAGGAGATGTTCCCTCATGTAGAGAGAGCTTACAATCTATAGGCACAGAGCCTTTGTTAAGGTGGTGACGTGAGGGTAAAAGTACTAGTTCTTTAGGGAGGATACCTATAGCTAAGGATATGTACAATTAAAGATTGTCTTGATATTTGAGAATGACTATCCTGATAATTGCTCTTAACGTGCTCTAATCATTCTTGGACTCCCCGATCTTTGGGCAGGGCTGAATCCATGAATTAGGCTTGACCCGCTTTATAGCTAATTTAGGCTTACTCAATTGATTGGGCCTAACCCTGTTGAATCTGGGCTCATCATTTTCCCCCCATGCCCTAATCCCTTGAGATAACAAGAGGTAGATGGCATGTGAGTCTTCCTCGCCTAGATGAGCAAAATTTTTCTTATTCCACATGGTGACCTTTCCATCATCATAGATTGTGAAATCTCTTCCTTTAATTGAAATCACCATCAATAGGCATTTTTGGCATTCATCAACATCTCTTTTGCTGGGTCCTTCACTAATCTTAAAGAGATCCCTTGTATTTTCAAGAAAAATCCCCTAAAAGGGCTTATATATATAAAACCTTTAACCCCCTTCACTTCATCCCTTTTTTTCACGTAAAGCTTTCCCTCGAGGCTAGGGCTCAAAAATCTCCCTGCCCATAAGAAATCGAGGAAAATGGTGGAGCTTGGAGACGATAATAGGAGGTTCCATAAGTGGGAAAACAACTGGTGATTCAGTGCGAACATGTGAAATCAGGAGATAGGCCTTGGCGAAGTTCTAGGAAATGCTAGGTGAGGCCCTTGGCGGCGGTAGAGATGCTATGGGCAATGTCAAAGGCTTGGGAAAAACCAATCTCACGACAGGTGGAGCTTTAGAGGATAAGGGTGATGCATCGGGTCGCTTGGGTAGCTCCTCAGGCTACTTTGGTGGCACCTTGGATCACGCATTCGTGGGTGACTCAAGCCTCAGTGTAGGCTGGCTAGGTGCAGGCATTGCTGGTGTAATTGATGGAGGGGAGACCGCAGACATGGATATGGGTGGTGATGAAGGTAGAAGATGCACAGGTGGCACCCTTCGTGCAAAAGGCGACGCCAATGTCGACCTAGGCAGCGCCACTTCAGCGATTGAGGCAGGCCTGTATAGCGGTCCAGAGCAGGCAGTGGGCGATGCCGAAGCCTAGGTAAAGGGCAACGCCAACCCAGCTACTAAGGATGACATCTTGGGGTTTGAAAGCAATGCCAACGCGAGAAAGAAAGGAAGGGGCATTAGGCACGTGTCAATTAGCATGCTGATAGACAGAGGAGTAAAGGGTGACGTTGGGCTAGGTGGCACCAATGTACTGGGCGATGTCTACTAGGGGCAGAGCAGAGACGAGTGTAGGTCAGGCGACGACACCGGTGGTCAGGGTGACGGCACGCACACGAAAGGTGGCACTGGCGGTCGGGATGTTTGATCTCGTGAAGATGAGACTGTCACTTGACTTTCTTGTTTTGGCATTTAATTGATATTGAGGCTTTCTTGAAATTGACTCCAACTTCTTTTTCTTTAGGGTCCCAATCTATCTATGGTGTGTAGAGGGATGCTCCACAAGGCTCCTCACGAGGTGAGAGGATTGCTAAAGGTGATTGTTCAAAGGTAATCTACATTTTTAGTTATGTGGATAGTGATGATGATATTGCCCGCATTATTTCTTGGTACCGTATCCCTCCTGTCATCATGTGTCGTCGGATGGAGGAGGATGAGCCATCGTGTTATGACTCCTCGGGAGAGATCATTCTTTACGAGGATGTCTTAGAGGCGGGTTTGAGGTTCCCATTACTTGGACCCATTTGTCGGATTCTAGAACACCTATTGTTGGCTCCTAGGAGGTTGACTCCCAAAGGGTGGAGAGTGATCCTAGAATTCTTCTAATTATGGCGGCTAGTTCACAGTGCTGATGTTCCTCCCCCTTTCGAGGAGCTTTTGTCCACACACGTGCTTGTAGATAACCCTTCTCCTCATTAAAGGTGGTATTGTTTTGCCCCGAGGTCGGGCAACTTCATCACATGACTTCCTTCAAATTATCATAATTGGAAGTCTAGGTTCTTCTTTGTTGGAGGTGAGTGGGCCATTGAGGTAGATCGCAACTTAGTTCCTTGAAGGTGGGACACTGTTCCAAGGACCAAGCTAGGTAAGAATTTCATTTTTTCTTTTACATTTAGTCGTCACGTATCTGTTCTTACTGTGTGATTGGTTCCTTTGCAGCTCCACCCACATTATCTATGGAGTAGGAGAATAGACTTTAGGTTGTGGGGATCATCCTTATAAGGAGTTTTTAGAGATTATGTCCACATCGAGTTGTCCCAAGGTCTCCCCTAGGTAGAAAAGGAAAGGTATCTGATCCTTCCAATAGACTCATAATGGTTATGACTTTGTAAGCTTTTTGTCTCACACCAACTCCGCAGGTCCCTCTAATGATAGAGCGATGGTGGAGGCTCTTTATGATTCCAAGGTGGCCTCTTCCCCTCCTTCCTCTAAGAGGGCGAAGTTTGATGCTTCCAGTGCTTCTCAGTCGAGATCTGTTGGCTAGATTAGTACCCCAGAGGCGGGACCTGGTGATGCCCCACTTTTTTCCTGGCTGTGACTCCATCGAATTCTAGATTTAGTCCAATCACGACTATAGGGATTTAGGCTCCAGTGCGGTTCCCTACAAGGACCAAAGCTCCACATAGCTGTCCTGCTTCTAGTAGTGGTTCAATATCCGTGTTGTAGGACATGAATCTAGCCAATGAGTAACTTTAGGGGTTTGTGACCACTATGAAGATCCAAAAGATCAGCTCTTGAGGTCCAGAGGGCATCATTGACATTGCTGTGGAGGGCTTTGCTATGGTATGACTTTTATTCATTTCATTTTTGATTTTGTACCCGCTCCTTTTTCCTCATGTCCTTTTTTTTACATGCTTGTAGGTGGCTACCGCTTTTCCCTATTTATTTTCAAGCACGATGAAGCTTGTAGGGTCACTCAGTGATTTGGCAACAGAGAGGTAGATACGAAGGGATGTTAAGGAGCAGTTGCTGCTCCAGAGACAGGTGCGAGAGGCTGCCGAGGATCAGTTGAGGCTAGCACACGAGAGAGTTGTGCCCCTTGAGACTGAACTTTTGGCGTCCTGTGAGAGGGCTGCCCAACTGGAGGCTAACCTTCGAGCAACTCTTGAGAGAGCTACTAGGTAGAGACTTACTTTGTCGTGATGGAGAAGAAGAGGGATGCTATTGAGAGGGTTGTGGTAGACACCTTTATCGATAGTTATAAGGAGCTTAAGGGGAAGGTTTGAGTAGCTTTTCCTGCCTCTGAATTTTCTAGCTTCGTCCCTTATGAGGCACTAGGGACTGATGATGAAGAGGAGAGCTTTGATGGGAGCAGATCAGAGAGTAGTGAGTCATGTCAAAAGTATGGTATTTTTATCTACATGTTTCTCTTTTTGTTGCTAGGCCATATTCTATCTTTTCTAAATAGTTTATGAACTTCTATGGAATGAGAGATAGCTTTTGAAAAAGACAAAATCTTGCAAAGTTTTATTTCATAATTTGAAATAAATAACAATGACTAAAACATTAAAAGATAATTTAAATGATAACTACTGACTTGTGCACCCACTATCTTGCCCCCAGCTATTGGTAATATTTCTTAAGGTGTTTTATGTTCCATGGATGGGCCAAGACTTTCCCCTCAGAGTTCTGAATTCTGTAGGTGCTTGGTCTTACAACTTCTATGACTGTGTAGGGTCCTCCCAAGAATCTTTAGTAGATAAGATGACCTTATTGAGGACTAGATCCCCAAGCAAGAAGGAGCGAGGCTTCACCCTCGAGTTGTAGTACTTGGAAATGCGATGCTTGTATTCTACATCTATGAGCATGCCTATCTCCCTCTCCTCCTCTACCAAGTCAAGGTTGATGCAGAGACCTTCTTCATTAGTGTTAGGGTCATGTTGTTGGACCCTAAGGGAGTGTACCCCAATATTGATTAGTATAACCGCCTACATAAAGAGAAAGGGGTCTCATCCGTGAGGCTCCTTGGTGTTATCCTGTGAGCCCATAGTACTCTTGGAGGTTCGTCCTGTATCTGGAATAGGATGTGCTCCACCGAGGCATTGAGCAATGTGAAGGCTTGCCTTTCTCTCTAGGGTATGAGACCGAGGTGGTACTTGACAGAGACCTTATCTATCCTCTTTTTCTTATTCTCTACCTCTCACCTATCCTCACAGGTGTCTTTCCTTTTTTTCCCCTCCTCAAGAGGATTCATCTCGTCAGGCTTTGGGGACGTCCTCGACATTCATATCCTTCTATGTCCTTGATAACAACTCGGACATGCTGTAGGGCAATTTTTTCAGGATAGAGAACATAAAACTAGAGGAGCACAAACCTGTAATAAAGGCAGCCATAGTCAGCTTATTGCCAGGTTCCTCAATCTGAAGAGCCTCCTCGTTAAAATGAGTGAGGTAGCCCCTAAGACTTTCATCCCGATCATGCTTGATGGTGAGCATGTGGGTAACTGGATTCTGGTTACAGTGTCCCCCAATGATGTGGGAGACAAAAGGTTTGCACAGCTCTGCGAAGAAATGGATGGAAGAAGACTTGAGCTTTGCAAACCATTGTCGTATAGATCCTTTAAGTGTGCTAAGAAGACTCTACACATAATCTCATCAGGCATATTGTGGAGTTGAATGAGAGATTTGTTTGTGTCCAGGTGATCAAGGGGATCCTTGGTGCCATCAAAGAACTCGACGGTAGGCATGTTTAAATTTGAAGGCAGAGGGTAGTTAATAACATCCACTACAAATAGAATGTCAGTACGCCTTACCAAATAATCCACTGTCTTTGGCAATTGTGCTTGGATGGCGTTGAGGGCATCGCCAAGCTGATTTTGCACCTCCTTAATCTTCTCGTCCCACTGGTTAGGGACATCCTATGTTGGATCATTGTAGTAGCTTTCATGATCCGCATACTAGTTCTCCCCCTCATCCCCCTACCCATGATGATTGGCTACGCATGGAGTAGGTACATGAGGGGAAACATGGAAGGCACTTGCACGCAGTGGTTTGGGACTCCCTAGCGAGCGTGCCTTGGCCCTGCATGGAGGTGCCTTGATATTGGGTGCCACGGTGGGGAGCACCTTGGCACCCAGAGTGGGGAGACTGTGGCACCTCTCCAATTGGAGGGAATACTGTTCTCGCGAGCTGAGGGGTGACACCTTCGAAGGTGAGCATCAACTGGATAATTTTCTAGTTCTGGCTTACCAACAATTGCATGGTCTCTAAAAGCTGTTGCCCAACTACGGGAGTTGCCACAAAAAATGGTTCTGCTGGTGCAGGTAGAGGCGGAGCCTCCTCTTGGCGGGCTAGGTTGTTGTCCTCTAGTTATTGATTCATCGACCTGGTTGTGATTGCCATGGATTTTTAAGAGAATAGAAAGGTAGTAGAAAAATCAGTCTTTTTCACATACTACACCAAATTGATGATTCACTTATTGTAAAAGACAAGACTTGCAAGGGGTTTGATCTTTACCTGTTGAAGGAGATCGTGATAGTGAAAGAAGCTCCGTGGAGGGGAAAAAAGGACGTAAGCCATTGAGGTCAGGGCCGAACCTCTATAAATCTTGTTTGTCTTTCTTCTTCTCTATTACTTATCATATACATCATATTGTCCATCATATCAATAATTAAATTACCTATCATATACATAATCTTGTTAATCATATAACCATTTATTTTGCATAACTCCTCATAATTTTTTCCATTGTATAATTGTTCAAATATCATGAAAGTTAAAAATTGGTCAATAACTCACATAACCTAATTCACCCCCCCCCCCCTTTTAGGTTGCATTTGAGCCAACAGTTCCATCATAATCAATTTCTTCCTTTTTGTGTATCCCTTAGCCACTAGGTGTATCCCTTAGCCACTAGTCTAGCTTTATATTTATTCAGGGAACCATGATTTAAATTTCTTTTTAAGAGTCCATTTACACCCATCTTTTTTTTTATCTTTTGGATGTTTCTCTCTATTTTAAATGATCAATTGAATTCAATGCATCATTAAAATTAATAGGATAATTTAAAAAAATTTCACTACTGAATGCATAATAATCTTTTAAGTAACTAGGTGGATGTATTTTTCTTTGTATTATAGTTAAAGTATCCTTGGGT